GAGGTGGAGACGAGTGTCGGGATAAGCGATGGTGAAGGCATGGAGGAAGTACGCAAGAGAGATAGGCGGAAGCGGAGGTGTGGGTTGCTGCTACGCCCCTAAGATGGCGACAGTGATTTAGTGCTGGGGAGGGGTACCGCTGGGGCGCGGTCAAGAGAAGGCCCCGTTCACGTGGGCTCTCCTGTTCCAATACGCCCATACCGCTGCAGCCCACCCCCTCAGCACGCTCCGCCGCCGCCGCCGCCACCCCTGCCGCAGCTCAGCTGACGCCGCCTCTTGCGCCGACTCACTTAAATTCATTCTCTACTCCACTCGAGTATGGAGCACTTGGAGTATGAACGGCGCCTTCTAATCTCCGGGGGTACTCAGGGAATCAAAGACGGTCTCCGACTGCGCCCCTTCAGCCTCGCGTCGCCGCGCCTCGGCCTCCTCGCGCTTCGCAGCGGCCTGGCGCGCTTCAAGGACTCGCATGGTTTGGTACTTTGGCCGAGCTGGCGCGTGTGTAACCCGCGCCGGCGGCCCTGGGAAGTACGACTCCGCGTCGTGGTTCAACAGCCTCTCCTACGCAGAGAATCACGCCACTTGCCGCCGGTCCTGCGACGTCGACGCTTTCTGCGTCGGCTACAGCGTTTACGCTCCGCTCGTCGGAGGTCAGGTCGAGTGCAAGACCTATAAGGCGCAAGCACCGGAGGACGCGATTGCGGGCGCAACGCCCTCGAGCGGCACGACGTGCTACGCGAAAAAATATTCACCGCCGCCGCCGCCGCCGCCGCCGCCGCTCCCGCCACTGCCCCCGCCGTGTGCCTTCCCCGACGCGCGGTGCCTTGGCCAGACCTGCGGAGACTTGATCAGCACCTCCTGCACCAGCCCCTCCCTCCAGGGACTCTGGGCCGGCCACACCTGCCCGCATTGCCGCGGCTGCTGCTCCGTGCCGCCGCCGCCTTCGCCTCCCGCGGCCCCGCCGCCACCGCCACCGAAGCCGCCGCCGTCGCCGAGCCCGCCGCCGCCCTCGCCACCGCCCCCCTCCCCGCCACCACCCTCACCGCCTCCGCCCTCGCCGCCGCCTCCTTCGCCGCCCCCACCCTCCTCGCCTCCGCTTCCGCCTCTGTCGCCCCCGCCTTCCCCGCCACCACCTCCTGCATCGCCGCCTCCGCCGCCGCCGCCGCTGTGGCCGCCGCCGCCGCCAGGGGTGACACAGCCAAACCCACCGCCACCGATGCCGCCCTGGCCGCCGGGGCTGAAGCCAGAGCCTCCCCAGCCCCCGCTACCGCCGCCATCATTGCCACCGCAGCCGCCGCCGCCGTCGCCGCCGCCTCTCTCGCCTCCAGCAACGCCGCCGCCGCCGCCGCAGCCGCCGCCGCCGTCGCCGCCGCCTCTCTCGCCTCCAGCAACGCCGCCGCCGCCGCCACCGCCGCCACCAAAGCCGCCGCCGCCTCCGACGTCGCCGCCGCCGTCGCCGCCCGCCCAACCCCCCGCCTTCTACGCCGACTTCGTCGAGATGCTCAACGAGACGGTGCGGACGGGGTACGAGACCGTGGCGCCCGTCGTCAAGGAGCTGGAGAAGGAGCTGGGCGCGCTGCTCCCTGAGCGGTGGCCCCAGAAGGTCGCCGAACACGGGAGCGCGGTGCGCGAGTGGAGCCTGCGCCCCCTCGGCGACTCGCTAAAGCTAAACTTGGACGACCGGAACCGGACATCCACTCCGAGTGCTCTCCCCCCTCTCCTTCGCGATCACGTGGTAAAGGCGGTCCGAGCCATCCTCGCCAAGTCCCCGCCTGAGTTGGCGCTGGGAGTAGCCGGGTGGCTCTTCCTGGCGCTCTGCTTCTACCGCTGGCTGCTGGCCGGCGGCGCAAGCCGCCTTCACAAGCGGGCTCGTGGAGCCCGAACCAAGGAGAAGGCGCGGGGCCGGCCATGCCAAGTCCGCCGGCCGAAACCGCCGCTTCCGAATGCCCTTTTATTTGCAGGAACTTTACGAATAAAGGAAAATTGGGGGGGGCCTGGGT